ATTGGGACTTAAAGTAGGAGGGCAAGTCAAAAAGTATTTCTATAAATTCATAAAAACTTATTAAACAAAAATATCAAAATGTGAAGCTATTGTTTCTTGACATGTCCCCCATCTAGGACTATATACTTCTGAAGGAAGTGTTTCCATCACTCTAACCGATTCCCCCAAAGAACTCCGTGCTCTTTGATTTACACCACAAAAAAATGGCAGTTTTGCCATCCTCAAAGGACTTAAATTATGTTCCTTTTAAATATTCTTTGAGCTTGGGGTTGGAGGGTCCTGCAGGAGAGAGACAGAAAGAAGTCTGAAAAGGTAAGATACATGCTCTTAGGTGGATGGGTAAACTTTTCAATGAAATTCGCATAGAGCCGCCCTCGTTCTACCTTTGAAGAATGAGCAGGTACATCGTCATTATGGGAAAAGAATTCCTCAATGCAATGTTCCTGGGCATTTTCTCACTTTTCAATTTTCTTAAAACTTCTTATAAGCACCCCTTTCTTTCAAGAATATCTATCAAGATGACCCCTTTGGAATCCACAGAAACAGTCACCACAACCTTCTGAGCTGATCTCTATGCTTTGACTCTAACTGGTCCAGAAGATACCCTCAAAAGCTACTTTTGGTTGGTCCTTGCCTTCTAGTAATTGGTAAGTTCAAGACTCATCTGCAGTTATGATTTATTCCATGAAATCATCTTCATTTACTTTGCACTTATTGAAAAGACTAATGAAGAGATCAGCTCTTTGAATTTGCTCATCTTTGCACACTTTTGACACCCATCCAATGAAAAGCTTGTTGAAGCCAACATGCATGCTTAGAATTGAACATGCTGATCCATGTGAGATCCCAGTTTCAGTAGCTATCGCATCAATGATAATTTTACAGTATTCTTCCACCAGTTTCTGAATTTCAGCCACTGCTTTTTCATTTCTCTAGATTGACAGTTATCCCTCTCTTGGCTATCTTTGAGGGTTTCCTAACCTTCCTTAAAATGCCTGGTCCATCTAAAAACTGTTGCTTTATGTGTGACACTTCCATTAATACTTGTTGCTTCAATGATTTGGGAGGCTATTCAATTGAGTTTTATTAAAAATTTGACATTAGCCCAAATATCAAACTTGGTTTTTTCCACAGCCCAAAAAGAAGACGCCCTAATGAGACTAAGACAAATGTATTACTGAGAAAACTTGTCTGCAGCCATCCACTGATGGCAGAGACATATTTACCACATTTTGCTTGGAATAAACCAGTGCATGTATGAACTGGAACCCTACTAACAATACTTTTTGATGTACCTTCATGGTTAACATGGAACGAGGCAAGTCAACGACAACAAAGTAGAAGTTCAGATAATTTTCCTTATCACCAACTCCTCAATTTTATACTATTACTAATAATTGAATTCATAGTATATAAAATAAAGAACTGAGGTTAAATCAGTAATGCTTTTAGCTAAACTTATATCTTAGAAATTACTACATCTGGTATATAAATTTGAAAACTACGATGCCCATACACAGATGTCAGTCCACTCAATATATAATGCTTTATGTGCATATAAACTCAATTTAGTAATTACTGTTAAGGAATAAACAAGATGTTCAAAAAGTATGGGGGGCGGCTTCAGAAAGTTCATGGAAAATTTCATTGTTTTTTATTCCATTTTCCCCACAAACGTTTTGAAGCCTCCTCATATGTGAACAAAGAATTAAGGTTTTCACATCAAGAAATTGTCAATTACTTTCTTTTCTTTAAAAACACACAGAAAATACACTTCCTACTCCTGTAAAACACAAAGACACATACCTGTCTGGCATTCCTTGTGTTGGATATGTGGTTTGCAAGAGGTGGCTTTGATCTGTGTGACAGGCTTGCACAATACTGCTTTGTTCTTTAAGAGCCTGGATGGCTGGGAAGTGGAAGACTGGGGAGATAGAAATTTCTTGGCATTTGTCTGTGTAATCCCCTAGTTAAAATAAGTTCAGAAACCAAAGAGATTTTTTCAGTACCTTATCACTAACTACAATTGCTATCAATGGAGAGGTGGCAAATATCAAGACTGCAGAGAAGACACGGGAGTGTTTACTGCTAAGAAAGAGAATTGTTCTTTAGAATAGCCACAATAAAGAATTCACTTGGAATAATCTGCGCCCATTTCCAACTCTCCTAATCAGTACCAGTTCCATCTACTGATCTTAAGCAATAACACAGTAAGATTTAAAAAATGAAAATAATTCTTGCTGTTTGAAATATGGACTACACAAAACATTAGATCCAACCTCAGACCATATGCAAAAAATATATTTCATATTGATTATAAAGACTTCACCATAAAAAAAAAACCACAAAAACTTTAAAATTACTGGAGAACTTCAAATGACCAGAACACAGAGAAAGAATTCATAAATAAAACACAAAAGGTAAAGAATTCATAAATAAAACACAAAAGGTAAAAACAAAGTACAAAATACTGATATAGTTGACTACCTCAAAATTGAAAACGTTTTCAACAAAGCTCTTTATAAATAAAGTGAAAAGACAAGCAACAGAGTGGGAGAATGTACTTAAAGCATGTTTATTCATTTAATAAATATTTACTGAATGTTTACTACATGCCAGACACTGTTCTAAGTCCTGGGGATATAGCAGGAAGCAAGAAAAAACCCTGCTCTTACGGAATTTATATTCTAGAGAGACACACAGAAAATAAACAAGTAAAATAAACATTTAATGTGTAATTCCAGGTAGTAAAAAAAAAAGTGCTAGTAAAAAAAATAATAAAGCAGGATTTAAGAATAGAAAGTGATGGCAGGCAGTGGGGTAATTTTGGAGTAAATATTTGAGCAGAGATCTTCTGAATTATTCAAAAGAATAAGGAAGGTATACAAAGGCCTGCAGTCAAAAGATTCCAGGCAGAATATTTAGGGGCAAAAGCCCTTATGTGTGAGACAGCTTGGCATGCTTTAAGACGGTCACAGAGAAAGCAGGGAGAGAATGCTAAGTTTGGATCCATAGGCAGAAGTCAAATCATGTAAGATTTAGAATGTCTTG